TAAAAAACAAATAAATTTTAATCCTGTTTTTTGTATAAATTTTAATACTTTTTTTTTGTAATTTTAAATCATGAAGCATTTCATAAATCATGATTTCATATTTTTAATTTCTACATTCCATCTTACTAGATTTAAGCCGATGATCTACTTACTATCTAAAATCCGGAAGTCCCAACGAGTCCAGATCTCGGACTTTGTACTGTATATATATTAAGGAAAGCAGAGTTTTAATAACACCTTAAAAGGAAAAGATTATTGCACATACTTCTGGTATCTGCATTTAATCCATTAACAGGAACTCCATTTGGGACTAAACCAAAATAAGCTGCCAATAAATATTACTCTCCTCATTGCAACTATGTCCATGCATATTTAGTTTTAAGCAAAAATTCAGCTTTGAAGAATTTCAATTTAGTTACTTTCTTCATAGGTTCCCAGAATTAAAAAAAAACAATGAAATAAAAGCTTGTAGAGATATTAGAATTTTTTATGCTGAAAGACATGAAAAATAAGCAATGCCCTCGCCAAGACTCAAACCTCGGACTTCTCGAATATGCACCGAGTGTGCTGCCATTATACCACAAAGGCATGCTACGAAGGCTTGAGAAATACCTTATGTACTCTCCATTTTTTTTAAAGGGGGCAGGGTAGTAGGGGACCCAATCACCAAATCCTGGTGGTGGAGAATCTTCATCCACCACCTTATTTAGTTCGAACACCACTGTACAGACATGAAGTATGAGCACTGCCCTGCCAGGACGCGAATCTCGGACCTCTCGAATACGCACCGAGTGTGCTGACCATTGCACCACGAAGGCATGCTAAGAAGGTGGGAGAATTATCTGATAAGCTTTTTCCAGAATCATGGAATAATGCTAGAAATTCAAGAATGTTCTAATTCCCACAGAATGAAATTATATGACACTAAAGAAAATATACTGTGGAAAGACAACTTTGAAATGTTCAGATAACTAGCAAGAATGTGAAGAGGAAATGCATATGAATACTATGTGCAAATGCAAAACTAGAAAGTATAGAAACACACAAATAAGATTCAAAAATTCATTTGAAGGAAGTTAGATCAAATTTACAACAAACACAAGATTTATTTTCTGTTGGTGCAACGATTTAAAATAAGACAAATTTCATCAAGAACTATAAATGATAGTCAAAACTATCACAGAGGGGAAATATTTTCTAAAAATGTGTATATTACAGGAACAATAGGACTACAAGTCAGCACAAAATGAGAAGTTGTACCACCAGAATAACTATCAACTGACATATAAGGATTACAGGAGAATAGAAATCACTTTTGTTTAACTTTCTGAAGCTGGCTGGTACAGCAGTTGTACCAGGAAAATGACCTTCCTTAACGCCGGCTCTGGTACAACTGTTGTACCACCCATTCCCTCCCTATTTTAGAGAATCGCCTATCTGTAGATCTCAGGGTGCTGGGAAACTGGCTTGTATATACGTTACACATGGGGAAAACCACGAAAACGCCCATGCAGCCAGCCCGTTCGTGGGATTCGAACCTCGGACAGAACTACCAGTGTTCAGCGAGTTTACTACTCGGCCGCTGGTGGACCCCAAAGCTAGTTTGTATTTATTATATTTTGTAAAATTTTGTTCTCGTTTTCTAATTTCTAATACGAAATATAAATGAAGTGTGAAAACAAAGTTATAAAATTCACAAATTATTCTCGAGATTGATCAGAAATAGTAAATGAAATATAAACATTGCACACATTCTTGTGAAATAAATAGTGCACTGGATATCCATCCAGTGCTATTTATTTAGAACTGTATTTAAATGAAAGCAAAATAATCATTAAAAAATTCCCAAATCTAGCAACCCATCTACTATGAGACAGTATCCAACCAAACAGGTAAATTTAACTGCATCCATGGAGGGGTCTAATGACTTTTCTCATTAGGAAAATGTCAAAGAGGGGGGGAAACTGTTTCGGATTGCGCTGGTCTGAAGGCTATATTATGAGAATTTCGATCCGGTTTTAGAAGGTCAAACAAGATAAAATCCTGAGTATCCAGTTTGCCACCAAAAATTATCTTGATATGATTGTTTTCAGGAGTTGTTAAGCGACATGTCAATCATTCTTTTCAAGCGACTAAAAGTAGTTATGTTATTTTAACGCATCTTCTTTTTCCATTGTTTACTGTCAATGTTTAGCTACTGATGCCTAAAGTTGCAATCCTGTCCTAAGGGAGAACTTCACACAGGGTGAAAGAGTCCAAGAAGTTGTCGCTTTACTCAAGTAGGTTATTGTTAGCGCTGTAGTATTCAATTTGTCATGAGTGAAGGAAAAGCATTCCAACATAAATTTGTATACACAGGCATTTTTGATGTTTGAGGAAAAGAGATTTATTCCTCTTTCAATGCCAAAAAGTTAAAATATCTCATTAGCTAATGCAATATCTAAAATACATTATTTCTTCAGGGTTCGTACACATTTCTGCACACGGAAATTAAGTACTTTTAAGACCATTAATGAAAAAATAAGGACCTATGAGCAAACGGGAACTGAATAAATCAATTGAAGATATTATCTATGCCTGAATTTCACTTTGTAATACCATCCAAAACAAAATAGATCTCTAAGTAGTACGCATTATTAAACATGAATTAATTAACATAATTGTTAATAAGTTGAAGAATAAAATCACTATGCAATTTTCAAGTAGCATTAAATATTTTACACTTATGATCGTTGTCATATTTGAAAGTTTATATCGATTCTTCTCTTTTAGCTCTTTTCTAACAATTAGAGATTTGTCTCATATGCAAACCAATCCTCTCACTAGTTTTTCTGCGTGCTTCATCTCCTAACTTGTCAACTCTCCATAATGTACCTATGAGGGTTTAATTGATCTGGTAAAAGTTAAATGTCCCAAACCCCGACAGACGTGAAGCATATTATCGCTATGTCTGAAATTACTACAATATCAGACAAAGATTTAAATAAGCTCTTATTTAAAAAACCAGAACATAAAGGCATGTTCTAATGCTACAAAATCAATTACAGCTCATGGTGACGTAACTAAACAAGAACAGTCAAATTCAAACTAATGATGTGGACTAGTGGTCAAAGTTCATTTTAATTTTAATTTAATCTGGCTCAATAACTATATCATATGAGGAAACAGAACTGGGAATTATAGTAAGGTTTGAAACATAAACAATTGGGTAATTACATAATAATAGCTGCACATATCTTTGAAGAATAATTTCCTTTATGTACTCAGTTTCTTTCTTTTCTTAAACACGTTCCTTTCATTTTAGAATTTTTGGATTTAATTAAGGATTTCCGTATTCTAAAAAAACACTAAATGCATTTAGAATGTACAAAAAGCGGCAGTAAAGGACGATACAGGCTGATGTGGCAGAATTTCTAGAATTAGTGACACACACCGACAACAAAATTCTAGAAATGGCAAAAACTTTAGAATTAGAGCAAGCATTGGAACAAATTTAAAAGGCAGCAGGCAGCAGAACTTAGGATCCACAGAGACTGCATCAGGTGGGAAATGCTACTTCCAGCTATGTGTATGATCCATTAGAAAATATTAGATGAATTTTAAATCGTAATTTTTTCAATTCTTTATTAATAAAAAAATCCCTTTCTAATGCCTGTCCATGTGATAAGATCAGAAGCATTTTGATACTTTCCATGCTTTGTCTAATGAAAAGTAGAGGAAATAAAGAGAAGAAAACATGTTAAGATTCTAATATAGAAGTAATAGATTCAAATATCATGTTTTCATTGTTCTTCCAGATGTTTCTCCAAAATTTAAGAAATTCATTGTAAACTTTATGTAAAATACATCCCTACTTGTTGATACCATGGAGACATTTTTCATTTTGTCACATATTCTCGAATCTTCTAGATCGTGGGTCTATAATCTTGCCTTCAAAATCTTTCTAAACTTTCCAAGCTGCAATGTCTAAAATCCTAAAGAAAAATTATCCCTACCATTTCTGTAACAGAAAAAAGCCAGAAATATTTCGGAAAAAGTAGGAGGGAAAAAGTTATAAAATTAATTTTATAAAGAAAAACTGATGCACATTCTGAGAATTTTGAATATTCTGAGACAATTACATGGGAAAAACTCTTACTATGAAAAATTAAAAACAAGACATTTTTAATTAATTCCATAGCTATTTTGCTTTTGCTAAGAGCTGTTTCGTAAATTGTGCTTTATATCATTATACCTGTGTTATTTTCAGATTTAAAATATTGTATAAGTTGGCAAAATGAAACTTTATAATATGACAGCGAAAAATAAAAATGTTTTACTTTAATGTTATTTTTTAAATATAATTTCAGTATATTACCATTATTTTAATAAATTTATCAATGTTACAATGTTTTAAAAAAAATCATTGAAAAATTCTCAGATTTTGGTATTAAAAAGTTTCAATAGAAACTAATCTTAAAATCGCCAAAATGTTGAAAAGTCGCCAAATTTAGAATCGTTTAATAAAAGAATTCACATACCCAAAAGCAAAAAGTTGTTTAAGAGCTCTTTACTAGAAAAAATGAATTTCAAAATGCTTATGTTTCATTTCTTGCTTAGAAACTCGAGTATCCCATCATTTATATTAGAAATAGAACCAAATTATAACTCATGGGCCTATTCAAAAGATTACCATATATACGGCAGTGAATCGCCAAAAATATTCCTCAAAATGCTAATTCACACTCAAAATGACAGTCATAAAAACAGACAGAAATTTCAGATGATTAAAATTAAGAATCTTCTGTTGATTTTGGCCAAAATTAAGGACTTTTAAGGACCAAAAATCGATTCAAAAAAATCTATGGACTTTTAAGGACCGTACGAACCATGTTCTTTTATCCTACTTATGAAACACCATCGTTTAGTTTTTGCTTTGCCATTAAAATCTAAAAACAGAAAAGCATGAAAAACAGCAAGATATTTTTACAAAGAAAAGGAGAGAAACTATAAACACAAACCTCTATCAGACACAGCAGTCAGTTCACGAAGAATGTTTCGTCTCCCAGCAGCTCCAGCCATCAAACTTCAGCACCTAGCCCAGCTACAAAAAATAACACATCAGATAGGTGTTCTTTACCAGAAAAGATATACATTCTTCCTAACATATATTTTATTAACATCTTTGTTGCTAACTATAATCCATCATAATTTCTAGAAAATCAATAATAATAATAATGAGTCGAAATATTTATAGTATTTTAAATGTAACCAGCTTTTCTTCCTTTTCAATAGGAAAGTTTAGGAAATAGCACTTTTTAAACTTGTAAAATATTATTCTAAGCCATCACTGTGGAATGATAAGCACTTAAAATGAAATATATCATGAAGGCATTCCAATCTTTTCTTATTATTATTTGCATATTTTTAGCTTTTGTAATGCTGAAACAGGTGATTAACTCAATTTACAACAAATCAAGCTAAAAAACTCTAAATAAAGTTTTGACAAACTCTCGTGAAAAAAAAAGCATCATTAACTATAAAAATTATTTTGGATGTGAAATTAATTAAAAAAAGCTTCACTAACATGACCAGTATCTCCCAAACATTTTAATATTATGATCCACAAGCAGATATCTTCTATGGAGAGAAGCTAAAGATAAGGGGAAAAAAGAAAAGATTGAGAAGATGAGATAGTAAATAAATAGAAATCAAGAATTAAATATTAAAAGTTAATAATAAACACATATAATTGGTAACAATTAACTAGTATACAGAGCTTTAGGCTAAGAATTATTAAAAATATATGGCAAACCAAGCAAAGCACAATCCACACTTTGGGAATCACCGAACTGAATAACTGAGTTTAATTTCAGTAAATAACTGTAAAGAAAATTTAAACTATCAGCCTTTATAAAATGATTTCATCAATACATCAATAAACTACTGCTGAAAAGTAGATCAATGAATATGATAGATGATATACTTCAAAATAACAGAAAGTCCAAATTTGTTTTGATTCAGCTTATTTTAATTCCTTTATAGCAATCAGATATCAGCAATAATACGGGACACACTGCACTTCGATTAAAGTCTAAGACTGCTCTTAAAACAAAAGATAAACCAAGACATTGAATTATGTCAAAATACATATAATGGTTTATATTAAACAAACGAATTAAATTTTAAAAAAAATATAGCACAAAGCTTGTTTCCACTAAACAGCCCCTAACCACCAAATGCTTAAATAAAAATCCATATAAATTTCGATTATATTCTTCAGTTATGTCGAATATGGTCAGGACAGCAAGATTAATTAACACAAGTACAAAAACCACAGAAAATGCATATACGTCACTATTATATACCTCAATAATGTTAAATATGGCCGTAACAGCACGATCTGGTAGGAAAAAAGAGAGAAAATTAAAAAATTAAAATAATAGAAAAGGAAAAACATTAACCTTGGCTACACACAAGACACGCACTGGAACTAAATTCCCGCTCTATCAGCTCCAAGTTATGCTGAGTTGTTTTATTCTTCATTTTCTTTCTGAATAGAGCTGGAGCAAACCGCATTTATTCGTTACTGAGTAACGGGTACATCGGTTGACTCGAAGTACCGATTCGGTACTCACAAATTCATTTCGTTACTCGCATCTGTCATACGATGCGGTTTATTCGAGTACGAATGATGCGGTTGCTATACGAATGATGCGGTTTCTATGCGAATACGAATGATGAAGTCCGTTACAATTATGCGACTACAAACGCTGACGGTTTACGGAATTTAGCGGGTCTCACGTGACTGGTGGCAACAATACGTCACAAAACTATTTGTCTGGGTTACTATAATTGGCTTTTTTCCACTTTTTTATGTGAATTTCGAGAAGTTTAGTTTATAGAAAATCCTTAATATCATGATGTAAACAACACCGATGGCAAAAAATTATTTGGTAAACTACATCCATTACGTATTGATAAATGTTTCGACATGATTACATATAACTGCATTAATAACCAAATAAAACAAACTTAGATTACAAATGCGTTATGTAATGGAGCATGTAACTAAAACTTCAGAATTGTAGAATCCGGAAGATTTTTTTTTTTTTTTTTTTTTTTTCCGAGTTAGAAGTATAACAAAATACGAGCAGTGTTATAATAAATTTTTAAATCTTCATATTCTTTAATTAGAGTGGTATACTGCTGTTTTTGATAACATTAAAAACTTTCGTTGGTGTTAAAATAAAATCTAGTAATTCTGCTGAATACTGCTTTTCATGAAAGCACGAGAATATTTTAATGGGATTATTAAAGTATCTGTAATAAAGAAAAAAAAAAAGTAGGTTAGGAATAAACAGTAAGTAAAAGGAAGATTACTAATAATTTATATTAACTATTGTATATATGTGTAATTTTGTGAATTGTGAAATAATGATATTTGTTCATTTTATAATTTAATAAATAAAAATTGTGAAAAAATTATATTTGTTCATTTTATAATTTAATAAATATTATGAAAAAGCTACGTACTTTTTAAAAAATCATTTGCACTTGTTTTTTCATTATTGCATTTAAGTTTTATTCATTATTTGAATCAATATATATAAGAATATAAGAGAATCGTATACATTTTATAAGTAAAATATTATACGCAGTATGAATGGAGATATGTTACTGTAAGATCCTAAAGTCTGGTAAATCCTAGGTTTTACCAGTAAAACCTAGCTTTTACCAAAGTAGCTTGTTAAAAGCTCGAAGTATGCTTTAATATGATTCCACTTCAGCCTTTGAGGTAAAACCGAGGAGTTACCAATGCCTTCTGGTAAAATCCTGAAACGAGGGATTTAAATCAACCTTGAATAAGCCTCCGCACACAAATTCCGTCATGACACTTTTCTGTTCCTGCCTCTCCTTATTTGCACCATTCGCAGTCTAACTTGGACATAATTTAAACAAGTGTAAGCAGCTATGATCTAAAAAAGAAGAAGTTTGGGCTCAAGTGCAGAATCGCCCACTTATCGATGTGCACATGGACAAAGTCAAGGGAGTGCGTAGTGCCAAGTTTGTGTAATTCTCTGATGTTTTTTTAAGCGAAAATAGGTCGTTGTGTACATGGACACTGAGTTTGTGCAATTCTTAGACTTGTTATTTTCAAGTTGGCGATTTTGAGAAATGCGCTAAGCAGGGGTGATTCTGCACTTTCCCTGAAGTTTGTTTCCATTTTTAACATACTACTTTGCTTTTTTTTATTTTGCTGATGGGAAATGAGTGATGTTATGCGGAAAAAGATTATGACATTTTGTCTGAATTTGTAAAAAATAAGCCTGATAACTGCTTTTATTTAACAAGTGAGAAATGTGTGTGAAGGAGAAACAAACAGTTCATTACAGAAGGTTGAAACGCTGTCATATTCTAATTGGAGGAAAGGACAAACTTATAACATCACTATTTGCAAAAATCCTATATTATGTTACAACTGATGAAGTCTTCAAACACAGCACTCATATTCGCAATTGGCCATGGTGAAAGAACTTGCATGATTAAAGAACTGAATCGTAAGTACAAGAATGTAACAGTAGAACCTATTTTCACATATTTAAGACTATGCGAACCATGTCAGAAGAAACAAAAAACTGTGAAAGATGGGATTGTAATTAAATCAGTTGTGCATAGTGAAATGAATTCTCGATGCCAAGTCAACCTAATAGATATGCAGTCCAATACTGATCATGATATGAAATTCATTTGAGTGCATCAAGATCATCTTACACAATTTGTCCTACTCCGAAGTTTACACAGTAAAAGAATTGTTGAAGTAGCATATCACTTTCTGGATATTTTCATAGCTTTTGGAGCCCTGAGCATTCTTCATTCTGATAATAGGAGGGAATTTTGCAACCAAATCAAATCATAAACAGTTTATGTGAAATGTGGAGTGATATAAAAATAGCTCACTGAAAACCGAGACACAGTCAGTCACAAAGTTCTGTCGAACGGGTGAACCAAGATGTTGAGAACATGTTGGAAACAAATAAGATAGGAAATTGGTCAGAAGGATTAAAATTTGTTCAAAAATAAAAAAACAAAGCATATCAGGAAGGATTCAAATGTTCATCTTAATGAAGCTATCCTGTGATGTCCTGCAAAGTTGTCTTATGAAGCTAGGACTTGCTAACTCAGTTTTGCCACATAATTTGATTAGTAACATGACCACTGAACAGGATTTAGAAAAAAGTTATAAGTATGTATTACTAATGAATGTGTGATTAATACAGAAAATGGGAAAACTAATCTCGAATCAACAGTTGATTTAGAATTGCAAGATAATAATAATGCATATGAAAAATAATCAGACATAACAATGGAAGCAGATACTAAAGTTTGAATTGAAATGAAAGAACCAGATATATGCTCTGACACAACGGGTGCAATTATCAAGAAAACTCAAAATGTGAAAGTGTTTCGAGAGACAGTTAAGGAAGGACTTCAGAAGCAGGCAAAGAAGATGAAGACTGTGTCTACTAAAAACTTTCCGAAACCTACATTTGGACAAATACTTTTGGAAAAATGTTAAAATAAAAGTACCTGATATTGATAGATCAAAAATGGATCCAAAATCAATAATAGCCGTTATTAGAGATATTAAGATGATGAGTTTTTATGTTTTTGATAGTAAGTTCGGTAAATTAAAATCGTTGTAAACAGGAAAGCAGTTTATTTTTTGTAAAGAAAAATTTTTTTGAACATTGAAGAAGTTGGTATAGAAGAAGTAAGTGTATGTGAAATAGTAAAAAAAAAAAAAATTTCTTTAGTTGGGGGACAAGGACTTAGAAAATGCAGCTGTTAAAAAAAAAACATCTGTTTGTGCAAATCAGCTGATCTACTTTGTAAATCCAAATGCCATAACAATCAAACTTGTTGTAACAGGTAATAAAATGTATTAAAGTAGTAGTACTAAAGAAAAAAACATGCTACAGTTTTCTTATTTTTTTAAAATTTTAATTTTTTTTATTTTAGCTATCAATTTTTTTTAACTATTTCCAAAATATTTTTAAAATTATTGAAATCTCTTCAGTAGTTATCAGAGAACTGACATTAGTTCAGCTTTTCCATGAGATCTTATGTAAATGGCATAAACGTGGCATTTTTTTTTTTTTTTTTTTTTTTTTTTTTTTTTTTTGATTTCTTGTGTATTTGAAAAATTGGTAAGGCAGTTCCATCGACTAATCTTAAATCATACCTTATATTGGTCACTTTTTTTGCAATTTATTTTATCAATTACGGAATTTCCCCCCCTTTTGGTCTATCTCAAAAGCTAACAAATTTTATGAAATATTTTATGTCTTCATTCTAATCAATGACAATCCCTCTTTTTTATATTTATATAAATAATTCAATTCAGTTGTAGATTGTCAGGATTTCTTTGATATGGGAGATGTGAAAAATTAGCAATGCCTTCGCCGGGACTCGAACCTAGACCTCTCGAATACGCACCGAGTGTACTACCATTACACCACGAAAGCATGCAGAAAGGGGGGGAAAATACCTTAGGGAACCCAATCGCCAAATCCTGATGGCGAAGAATCATCATCCACCATCTTTTAGGTCGGGGCCACTGTAGAGTCATTAGGTTATTTTCGAGCAAGAGGATATGGGAAATGAGAAATACCCTCGTCAGGACTCGAACCTCGTCCTTTCGAATACGAAACGAGTGTGCTAACCGTTACATCACGAAGGCATGCTGAAAGGAGGGAGAATAACAAAGCAAAATAAAGGAAATTTTCTCCTGGGAAATTCGAAATGAAATTTAGAATGCAAAAGTGGGCTATTGTGGTAATAATTGGCAATTAAGAAAGCAAGAAAGCATTTTTAGATTTGAATATAAGCTACCAGATTATAAATAAAGGTACAGCAGTGTAAATAAAAACTAAATAGTAGAGTAAAGCAGAAGAATTATTGCTGATTCCATGGACAGATCCCGACTTTTTAAGGGGAATCATAATAACATACATATATATTGGGTTTTAACGAAACTTTCCCGCCACCGCAAATATCGTCTTCGCAAACATAATACGCTGGCGTGTTTAATCATATTTTGTCAAATGGTTTTTGGCATTTGAAAAAAAGAGATTTGTTTTAGAACACTCATAGAGATATTAGGTATTTTTTGGAAGCAGAACAAGGGAAAAATTAGCAACACCTTGGCCGGGAATCGAACCACAGACCTCTAGAATACTCGCCGAGTGTGCTGACCACTACACTACAAAGGCATGCTAAGAAGGCAGGAGAAATTCTTTATATACTCTCCCTTTTAAAGGGCGTCTGGGGTTTTAGGGGACCCAATCGCCAAATCCTGGGTGTGGAGAATCATCATCAACCACCCTTTTAGTTCGGGCGCCACTGTAGAGATATTAGGTATGTTTTGGGAGCAGGAGAAGTTAAAAATGAGCAACACCTTCGCCGGTAATCGAACCACGGACCTATGGA